TTCCATTTTGAATTTTTTGAGGAAGCACCATATTGTTTTCCATAGTGGCTGCACCAGTCTGCATTTCACCAGCAGTGTACTAGAGTCCCCTTTTCTCCACATTCTCGCCAGCACTTGTTTGAGACTTATTTTCTGTATTCGTTTTTTAAAATTATTTTTTTATTAATTTGTTTTTGTTACAGATGTTTCTTCTTCTTCCCCCATTGACACCCTCCTCCCCATTCCCCCCACCCCACCCCCTGCTTTGTTGTCTATGTCCATTGGTCATGCATATATGCATTAAAAAATTTTTGTTTCTTTATTGATTTTTTAGAGAGAGAGAAAATGAGAGGGAGAGACAGACAGAAACATTGATGAGAGAGAACATCGACTGGCCAACTGCTGCATGCCCCTCACTGGGGATTTGGCCCACAACCTGGGCCTGTGTCCTGACTGGGAATTGAACCAGAGACCTCTTGGTGCATGGGTCGATGCTCAACCACTGAGTCACACCTGCCGGACTCTGTATTCTTGATACTCTGACATCTGGAGCCTGTCTGGAGCCTGGCTGACTTGCGCACTGGGAAGAGACTGCCTCTCCCAGGGCTGGCTGATTCTGGGTGCTAGGAAACAGAGCAAATGACTTGCCTAGGAGCCAGCCTTTCATATGCAAACTAACCAACCCATACTCAGAACCGCCTTCTTTTTCTGACTCCTACACTCCAGGTGGCAATATTCCTCTGCCTTAATCACCCCAGAGCCAAGTACCAGACAATGGAGAGCCCTATACCTCAGAGTCCCCTGAACTAGTCAAACTAGCCCATCCTGAGCTGCTAACCCTGCTTCCCTTGCCAGTGGAAACCACAGTAAAGGCTCCTGTTCTTGTTTCCCCCTCACCCCTTCTGTCTCCTGCCCACAGGGTGCTTCCTCGTGTGGCCCTGCATGGCATGGCACACCCCACTCCTGAAACTGGTAGTGGGAGTCTTTTCAAGTGGCAATCATCTTCTGATCTGTGACTTCACCACACCTAAACAATAATAAAACCTACACTTTAAAATCTGTTTATGTAAACTTAATTTCTGTTTATGTAAACTAAAATGAATATTGTTTGAAATGACAGCTGAGTCTCACTGACCCCCAAAGTTCAGAAATTCATATGGAGTGAACTTCCTTTCCATGGAAATAAGGTATTTGCATATATTCAATAATAATCTGTTTTCATTTTTACCAGAGTAGAAATGGAAAAATCTGATATGCAACTAACATCTTGGCTGAATGATGCTTATGGAATCAGGTATTACAAGCCCTTTTTTCTTTTTTTAATCTTCACCTGATTGATTTGAGTGAGAGAGGAAAGGGGGAGAGAGAGAGAAAAAAAGAAAAACCTCAATGTGAGAGAGAAACATCCATCAGTCGCCTCCCGTGTGCACCCTAACAAGGGATCGAACATGCCACCTAGACATGTACCCTGACAGATAATGGTCTGTATAGGACGATGCTCCAAACAACTGAGCCACCCAGCCCCAGCAGAACAAGCCATTTTTTAAAAAATCCTCATCTGAGGATATTTTTCCATTTATCTTTAGATAAAGTGGGAGGCAGACAGAGAGAGAGAGAGAAAGATAAACATCAATGTGAGAGAGAAACATCAACCAGTTGCCTCCCGTACACACCCAACAGGGGATCAAACATGCCACCTAGGTATTTAAACTGACAGGTAATGGAACCAGTAACCTTTTGGTGTACAGGACGACACTCCAACCAACAGAGCCACCCGGACGCAGCAGAACAAACCATTTTTAAGGAGTTAATGTGGCTTTACTTATGGAGCCAATGCCTGCAAAGTCCTTCTAGGACAGCCGGCCTGCTGTCTAGGTCACAGTGCTCCACCTTACAGGGGGTAAGAACCATCACTTCCTGGCAGGCCAGGAACCTAAGGTAATTTGGGGACCCCAAGAGGAGAATTTACCCAGATGTATAGGTACTGCAGGTGAAATGCAGTACAGTTTCTTGAACTTGGTTTCCTTTGCCTTGGGATGGCAAACAATAGAGGCAGTAGAAGTGCAGTCTGAGACTCCTTATGAAAACTTCCAGAGAGATGTTAATTCTGTATTTATTTGGTGCTTTATGGCTCTACATTTTGCTAAGCATACTTAAGAAGACTTACATGGTAAATTAACACTCTTGCTACGCCTATGTAAACAATCAGGCCAAACCTAATGAGACTAGCTTTATTTTGTGATCAAGAATACCTTAGTATAGTAAGGGAGAAAGTAGGGGGCAGGAGGAGAATGTAAGAAAAAATGGTAAATGACTGAAAGTTAGTGGCTGTCCTGGCTTCCTCATCCATCTGGATAACCTCTGCTTTTGTTTGTCCAGAACTAGGCTATAGAAGTAAACCTGTAGAAACTGATGGCAATGCAAATAATTCCTTTCCACAAAAATGCAAATTATTCCAAGGGAAAATAACTGCTTATCATCCTATGGATACTGCACGTTCTGAAAATTTTGTGTCAGTTTTTAATTCACTTTAGCATTTCTTGTCAGAGAACAAATACGTGATACTTTGCATCTCTTTTGAACTAGCTGTGATTATGTTATTGATTCCCTCTCCAATTAGCGATTTAAATAAAGTCTATGATGTGTCTGTATTCCATATCTGTATGAGAATCTTGATTATATCCTCTTCTAAAATGTAAATTTTCACCAGTGAATAAAAGATAAGCTTACATTTTATTTTTTAAAATGGTACCAGTAACATATATACCTCCCTTAACAGTTTTGATTCATTCTGCAGATAATGCTGAGTGAGTACTAAGCGCTGGAGATCCAAAAATAGATAAGGTCTGAAGCGCTGACCTCATGGAACTAACATCCTAAGGCAGCTAACATTCACTCAAACATTTTTCTAGCATTAGTGACCAACATCATAAAGGTTTAAAGCAGAGAAGAAAAACACACTTACAAAATTCTCTCAAAGTAACACTTTCTAAATAAGAAATTACTGCTCACCAAAGGAAAAATATTCCCGAGGGAAATCACATGTTTTATATAAAAAGTATGGTGAGTGCCATGAGGCAGGTAAATCACTGGTCTCACAATTGGAAGATCGGGGTATCTTTGTTAGAAACTCTGTGCTTTTATGGAAAGGACATTCTGCTCAAGTTATCCCAAATCTGATTAAGCCATGTAATTCCTCTGATCCTTAGTTTTTTCATTTGTACAAGATAATAATACTAACTCCGTTGGATTGTAATAAAATATGAGACATGCCTGGAACACAGCAAATGCTCAGCTAAGCGTTAGCTGATTTTATTAATGATGTTATTTATAGATGCTCAGTGCCTGGCCAGTACTCAACCCAGGTTAATTATCTTTCCCCAAAGAAAACAGGAAGGATGAAAAATGTTAAAAATTTTCCCCAAATATGGAAAACCTAAAATTATATTATCAGGGTTCTCTTACTCATTAGAAGGGAAAATGTGTGTAGATGGAGATGTTAGGACTGAACTGGAAATGTTACCTGCAGTCCAGGAGTCCAATGTTGTATTATAAGTGAAGACGATACAAGCACATCTCTCTCCTGAAATCTTCCCATGTATAACCAATAGGCTGGGAATGACATGCCCCATTAGGACCTTATTATAAGTAACAAGTGTGTAATTTCTGTGAGGCCAGACTATAAGATGACACAAGAAAGAGGGCACTTCTAAAAAAGATGGCTGGTCATCAAAAGTCCGCAATGTCACAGGTGACTCTTAGAAGGGGATTCAAGGTCAAAGCCTCCCTGTAATCAGTCAGACTGGGCAGGCAGCAATTTGGGTACCTGTATCCTCCCCAGCACCACAGTCCTAATCGAACAAGTACTGGGCACATTCAGTAATAGACAGGGTCTCAGTGTATCATAATTTAACTGCTATTTCACACTCATCTCTTTCTGCAACTCAACTCAGCTTAAGATCATCACAATTTCCTTCATGAATGCAGAAGGCATTTCATCTCACTGCAAAACTAACTGACAAAAGAAGAGATCATAATACCAAGGAAGAAATAAGACAGAAATCACAGGGCAAATAAGAAAACTACAAGGTCAACTAAACTGCCAAGCCAAAGTTGTTCTGACAGGAAGGTCACCTGGTACCCATTTACTAACAGGCCTGGACTTAAAGTCATAATTAACCTATTACACTTAGAGCTTCTCACATTATTTTGAAGGTTAACAGTTAAGGGTTAACAGAAAAAAAGCAAAGTTAGCATTAATGGAGTACCTATGTCCCCAAAACTGTTAGGTACATTACAAGTATAATCTCAGTGTTGAAACCATTAACCTCCTAGTAAGATTAAAGTGTATTCTAATTTTGCAATCCCTTTTAAAAGCATCATAAATTATTTAGAGGTTTTTAAGATAAAAAAAAATCACATTCTTTGCTATCTTCCTCTATAACTAAAAAAAGTTAAAAATATATAAAATGTAAATTCATTACCCAAATCAAATTGGGAAGATGTTTCCTTAATTCATTTAAATACTTATTAACCTCAAAGAACCGGACACCACACACACACACACACACAAACAAGCACATACACACTTGAGTATTTATTCAAGGCTACTAACTAAACCACAACCTAAGGAGAACGGCTCCAGGTAAACCTGGGAGTTTTGATTTGTTGAGAGAAATCTCCAAGTCTGGGGCAAGAAATGCATGTCCTAGAAAGAAAAAATAAATAAAGGCAATAGCATTTCCTTACCCTCTCCCACAAAGAGCAAGGCAGCTTCTCTTAATTATTGTCAAAGTCCAGTATTTAAGAATATAAATTTTAATGCACACTGACTTAGTAGCCTGCCCAGAGCACTCCACTACTAACCAACGAGGGCACCCATGTCTTTCAGGCTGGAGGTCTGCACAATGACAAGTCACTCGGATCACCTCCTGCAAAATAATGCGCTCAAACCATTTGCCAGAATTGTCCCCTCGCCTGAGAAGCACCCATCTTGGCAAAGGCTTGAGAAGACACACTACCTGACTTTCTCCGTGGCTCCTCCCATTCTCTGCTTTGAAGATGGATTTGGGCTTCCTGGACTTGAAGTTGCCCATGCTGGGTCGCAGCACACCGTCCACCAGCAGGGTCTGCTCTACATGCTGCGACTCCCGGGGGGGCGATGGCTCCTCTAGGAGAGCCCCGGTGTCGGGGTAATTTTCTTTATTGTCTTCATCTCTAAAACAGGAAAGACCCAATTTAGAAAGCACCACAAAAATAATAAATTGCTGTGGGAAAGAGGGGCTGGGCATACACATTGCTGCTCTATTTATATGGACCTAGCAACATTTTTAGTGTTGGCCTAGCCAGTTTCACAGGAACAAGAATTTAGGAAATGTGAATTTCACTCTTTAGATTACTCTCTATTCCCTTCCAATCTTTGCTAGTGAATGCATACTCTTTGTACTTGTAATTCTGTACATACTAGATGCTTGCTCCTCACTGACAAGTCTGTAACCATCTCTCTATAATTTTCAGAAGCATGTAAAAGTTTAATGGGGTCTATTTTAAGATACATGCTATCCAGATAGAATATAACACAAGGATTAAATTTTACCCAACCAAGTCATCTAAACAACATCCTCAAAGATCCCATTGTCTGGCTTCTATCTGTTGGAATTGCTGGAGAAGATCCAATGGGCGAGCATTATCTTTATACATTCAGTGCTGGAATAGCACTTTTAATGTTCACTCACCAATCAAATTCAATATAATGTCACCCCACCATTTCAATTTTCTCAAAAACAGTGACATAATAACACTCTTGTTTGAAGTCACACCCCTTTTAAATTTAGTGCAGTTTGTTTCATTATTTTGCAAAGAATCCAGCAAATACCATGAACAGAATTAAATGGGGCATCTCTTTATATAATCGATTTCATCCTTAACCCACTGGTAATCATTTGGTATTGAATTAGGAGTGGCCACTTGCCCCAGGTGGTGTTTTTCCCTCCTGCTCCCTGAGCAGAAGCTTCTATATCAGAGATTTGGGCAAGGTCAGCTAGGATGCAATTCCTCATGACTCAAGGGCATATAAAGCCGAGAGACAAGACCAGCAAAAGAAGGGTTTCTATGTGTACTGCTCAAAATGTCTTCTCACAAATAAGAAGGATTAAATTCCCTAAACTGATACCGGGAGGATGAGCTACAGTTAGTTCCTGGGAAAAGATCAAAGCAAACATTGGGGTTGGAGGTCTGGAGCATGACTAGATGCAGGTGGGCAAGGTATAGAAATAAAACTATGTGAACAACGAAGCTAAAGCCTCAGGACAAACAGTGCTTTCTGGTAAAGGAGAACCAAACATATAAATAATTTTTCAATATTAATAACTGAAAAAAAAAACAATGCCTGTGACACTGGTTAATATTTTCCCTTAAGATCATTTACAACTAAAAAAAAAATATCTAAGCCATTAATGGTTTTGGAAACCAATATCGAACCATGAGTTGGAACTACTCTAGTCCATTTGAAATGCATTTTTCTCTGAGGAAGAGCAGAACACGTGACCCTAGCATATGCCAATCTGGCATGTTATTTCAAACTGAAGACAAGACCCAAAAACTCAAGAAGAGCTTTTTACCTCCCCCTTAACTGCCTAAAAGAATTTATATTGAGGGTCTATACCAGGAATAAGCTAATACCAAAGATAATTTTTTATATCACAAAGGCTTATCTGCATGGTCTGGCAAATATTTGTTTACTCAGGATCTGCTCTTCTTCCCTTCCTGGGAATCTTCCTTCCCTTTGAGACCCCTGAACCCTACCACCTTCTCCTTAGCTCAGACCTGTATGTAAGTCTCAGTTAGCTAACTACAAAAGAGTCTGGCATGTTTGGGGTTCCCATACGTACAAAATTAATTTTTTTCCTCCTGTTAATTCGTCTTATGTGAATGTAATTATTAGACCAGCCAAAGAACCGAGAAGGGAAAAGTGTTTCTTCCTGACATCTCACTGGAAAAAAATAAACAGCTGCCTTTATGGTAACCTAAATGTTCCTCATTCAAGGACGATTGTAGAACATGTAAGAATTTTGTATTTATTTATTTATTTATTTATTTATTTTTTAATCCTCATCCTAGGACATGTTTCCATTTTTTGTACAGACAGTGTGGGAAGGAGAGAGAGGAAGAGAGAGAGAGGGAAACATCGATGTGAAAGGGACACATCGAGTGGCTGCCACCCGCAAGACCAACCAGGGCCGGGGACAAACTGCAACCGAGGTACATGCCCTTAGCGGGAACCGAACCCGGGTCTCTCCGGACTGCAGGCCGACGCTCTAACTGCTGAGCCAAACCGGCCAGGGCAAGAATTTTTTTTTTAAAGTGATTTTTTAAATCTAAATGAACTCTTTTGATAGAGTCATTCCTAAAATAATATCCAAACTTTGCTTTTATATCATATTTTTTCAAGGTGCCCCAAATTTATTCATCTCATTTACCTCCTTGACTTGAAAGCAAGGAAGGTGGGTGAGGGGAGCAAAAAGCATCTTTCTCTGATTACATAAAGATAAAACCTAAATACAAACGCTATCTTTAGAAATATATTTCTAACCTATTACTGGTTCCTCAGAATCCGCAAAACAGAAAAGTACAGGTTATGTAATTGATACCACTACTTAATGGGATCAATCATAACTAAGAATGACCATGATGTTCTAAAAAGAACAGGAGTCCGAAGGATACCTCCACTTATTAGTTGGGTAGCCTGGGCCATACCGCTTCACTTCCCTGACCCTCACCCATAAGAAGGATGTCACTTGTATCTTGAGAGATAATACAGGCTCTGTGAAAAGCCTACCATAGAAAGCTGGCTCAAGGCCACAACCCAATAAATAGGAGCTATTGTTACTCTCACTTACGCAAGCAATTATTTGCCAAAAAAAACAAAAACTGAGGCTCTTTTTATTCTTCCCATACCTCCAGGATAAATTCCAAACTCCTTAGCAAGGTACACAAACCCTTTGAAATTGGGTCTTTGTTTATCTCTAGAGTTTCATTTCTTACTACTCCTGGCCGCCTTACTCTCCCCCAGCTCTGAGGACTCCTGCCATCCTGAACTGCTTGCTGTTCCTTTAACATGAACAAATTTCTCTACCTTCTGTTGGCTTTCTGATAACTTGCTCCCTCTGCTTGATGGCATTATCTTTTATTTGGCCTTATATCCCACCAAATTTAAAAAAAAAAAAAAAAAAGTCATGAGCCAGGTGTAATTTTCTTCTATGTAGTCTTTCTAAGTGAATCCTCCGTTTACCTCTAATAAAACAGCACTTCAAGTAGCATTATCTATACTCTTGCCTATTTCCAACAGTGGACTAACTTCCTGGGGGCAGGAATTGATTTGTCTTCCTCTACTCCATATCTTAACTGGCTGCTGGAACACAAAATATGCCTTCAACAAATGTATGTATCCAACAGGCGGACTTCACAGTCAGGCAGACCAGGTCCAAATTCTGTCTCATAGTGGTTGTGTTTTCTTGAATGAGCTATAATCCCCCTGAGCCTCAGTTTCTCCATCTACAGTATGAAGAGGAAACACCAGCCTCCTTTCAGTTGTTTAGAATACATAATAAAATGTACATAAAAGTGCTTGGAACAAAGCAAATGTGGAAGAAATGGTTAACCATAAAGGTTTTGCCATCATCCCATGAACACCTTGATGACCAACACGGTAACCCAGACACTCAATGACACCTCTGATGAATATCTAGAACCTCTTCCTTAGGGTTTATGATGGGAACACTGAGATGAGTGGATCAATGTTTAATTCAATAATCATTTATTGATCATTCCCCAAATAAAAGGCACTATTCTGGATGTTAAGGGGGGATTATCCAAAAGTAGACAAGATAAAACTTCCTTCAAGAGCTGATAATCTGTTAGAGTAGAAGAAATAAGCCACAAGGACAAATGATTATAATTCAAAGAAGAGACTGCAGACACCAGACCCAGATGGTTTCCATTCTTCATCATGAAGACTAAGCAATGGTGGGTGGATACCTGAGACTGGAGCAGTCAGTCTGGTCTTCATGTAGAGAGACTGTGTCTTCCTCACACCTGGGAGAAGAAACAGAACCACATCAGATCCAACTGTCAGCTGCGTCAGAAGCAGCAATAGTCTAGAACTATTTTAAGATTAGCACAGTAAACTAAAAAAAAAACCAAAAACAGAATAATCCTCAGCACTCTCTCCCAAACCAGCTCTGAGTCCCAACATGTCTACCAGGTAATGCTATTAATGATGTCATTTCATGTGAACTCAAAGCTCAGAACCAAAGGTAAGCCCTTGTTTCCTCCACTGCTCTGCTTCACCTAAGGCAGTGGTTCTCAGCCTCCCTAATGCCACGACCCTTTAATGCAGTTCCTCATGTTGTGGTGACCCCCAACCATAAAACTATTTTTGTTGCTCCTTCATAACTAATTTTGCTACTGTTATGTCTTAGGTGACCCTGTGAAAGGGTCGTTCAACTCCCAAAGTGGTTGCGACCCACAGGTTGAGAACTGCTGACCTAAGGTAATAAGATCTTAGAAAGGACTTAAACGTTGACAGCACTTTAAGGGACACCTGACATTAAGACTGGTGGCTCAAAAGAAACTTCACTGCATGCCTTTTGGCATTCCCTCTTCCTCAGACAGTCCCAAAACGCATCTTCACCCCCTTCCTTTTTATAAAACTTCTGTAATAACCTTGTGAAAAAGTCTTGGCTATTCCATATTGAAAATTCCACGGTGCTCCACGCACCCAAGGGAATCTGGAATAGAATCATTATCTCTCTCTAGTGTAGGAGAGAGCCTTTGTTCCCTTTCCCAGTCATTCCCACCCCACCTCACTCCAAAACACTGCAGCCTGAAATGCTGTTTTCATCTTCAACTCCTACTCATCCTGTACTGCCCAAGTCAAGTCTCACAAGCTCTGTGAACCTTCCCACCCATGTTCATTCACATGCCACACTGCTATTTTAACCTTAATATATCAATGTTTACTTTTCATTATGAGGTTTCGGTAACCAACTATATCTTGATTCATACTGCTGTGCAATTCTTTTGTACCTCTGAAATCTTTCTAAAGAAGTAAGATAGGCTGCCACAGTGCTGACAGAGGTACCCCAGAGCAGACACTCAATGAGTGCTTGAATTGAGTCACTGACTCTGGCCCCTCAGCTTGTCTGGTCCTGAAATAAGAAGTATTTATTGAGCATTTATTGATTTCCAAGTACTACATGAGGCATTGGAGCTGTGATTATCAAACTCTTTAGAATTCAGGACTGACCAGTTTGTTTTCTATTTTCAACCCACTGTGGATAAATACTTTTGTATAGGAATGTCAAATTCCTATAAACATTGTTAAATGCTTACTCCCTATCTCTATACTGTTCTTGTCTCAGTCAAGATACAAACAATTTGGTACCCACACTTTAAGAAGCACAACTTCTAAAGGACACAAAGTTGAAAAAGACCTGGGCCCTGCTTGAGCGGTTCACAATGTGATGAGTAGGCAAAAATAAATACTTACATATATAAATATAACCATAATACGGTATTTATACTATGTAATACCATTTTTAAATATTCCTTACCAGCAATGGTTTATAATTTACCCATAGAAAAAATTGCTAAAGCTCTGTCCTCTTCCCTTATAATACCTTTTAAATTATGGTTTTGTACAGAATTAAACAAAGACTACCTACAGACTCTATTCCTCTCTAACTGTTGAAATATTTTGCTCTCAATGGCAGTTAAAAAAAGAAACTCAGTTGACTTAACAAAATGCTCTTCTTAATGAAATTAACTAAATGCCGTTGTTTTCTCTTGTTTTTGACTGTCAGTAACACACTCTGGCCATCTCATGGAACACGACAGTTAAGTTCTTAAGAATTGCCTGTTCTCCTCTATTTGAGGCATTCACTTAGATCATCTGAACTTTGCAATGTGAATAAAAATGTTTCCTAATAAAAATTACCTAGCTAAGTAGAAAAATCAATGGAGAAAGAAATGTAGAATTGCTGCTTCCATAGAATTAGGGTTCAACCAGAGGTTCAACCCTAGAGCCCAACAATACCTATTGTTTGGGAATTTGGCAAGAACTTATTTTTCTCTCCCTCATTAGCTGTATTAACCTTTCTTCTCAAAGTACAATTAGTTAAAAATGGAAACTCAGCACCAGGATATACAAAGTTGCAGATGCTTTGGATGTATGAGGCCAGACCTAATAAGCTGATCCAGTTTTAAGGCCTACTGAACAACTTCACTTGCCACTCAAGCAAACACAATTCCTAACTCACAGATATCGTGATGAAACAGATCTCCCTACTGGCTTACGTAGCACACATAGACAAGGTCTTGTAGTTCAGCTGGGTTTTCATTTGCTATGATGAAGACTGTCAAGTTCTACTTAATTAACATCTCCTTTGTGATTTTTCTACTGATTCTTTGCCCAGAAGCCCCAGCAATATACAAAACCAGCCCAATTATAAAACAGGATTCTGCAGAGGGAACTCATATCCAGATATCCCCACTCATGAGAGAAAATCAGTTCTAACCAAATACCTAACTGGTCTTGGGCATGGCATTCTCTTCTACATTAGAGGCCAATAAGGAATTTAAAGGCCAATCTCTTTAATGATCTCCTTAAATATTCAAAACTAGGTATCTTCTAGTCTCAAGTTTTTCAAACAGTAAGATGTGACCTATTAGTGGGTCTTAAAATTATACAGCAGCTATCAGCAATTTTTTTTGTTAGAGAAACAGAATAGAAAATGTAAATATAGTGAGAGTTAAGTGTTTTGTTTTGTTTTCACAAAACTTGTTTAAATAAATCATATATATATGTATATATACACACACACACACACACACACACACATGGGTGCTGGATTGCAATATAAAATGTTTTTCTTACTGTTGTTTGTAGTAAAAAAAAAAAGAAAAGAAAAGAATGTGAGCAGCACCTCTATTAAATGACTTCCTCTGAAGTTCTAATCAACTAGATTCTAAGTCCCATAGTTCTTAATTTGTGGTTGCCTAGACAGTATGTGGATAATTTGTCCTTTCAATTATTTCTCCATGAAATGCTCAGGGTTATTACATTTTTCTCTGTTCAGACTTTTACTCCATCAACCACAAACAAGAAAAACTATACGGTACTTCACAGCTCACTTCTCTTTTACATTACCTCAACGAAGCCTAACAATGTGAACTAGAAACTACCATCACACAAGAGGCTAAGGAATTGCCCAGGATTTCAATATGTACAGCAGTGCTTCTCTCCACCTCTCTACGCCCACCAAATAGTCTCTTCAGTCTACGTCCCCAGAGGCTCGCGAGAGAGGGGGAAAACGTGTTATTTAGAATAATGGTGGTGAAAGAAGTGCCCATGAAACAGTTCTCTTGTTTGACTTGTGTTAAATAAGAAGAGAGCCTCAGGGTGGTTATTAGATAAAATGCAGTTGTGCCAGGAAGGGGACTGTCACTCACCCTGGAGTACCATGTTCCCCGAAGGCAATGTTGTAGAGGTACAGCCTGAAACCCCATGGGATTTCTCCAAGTGTGTCCCCAGAACCACTTGCATTAGCACTACCTGGAGTGCCTGACTGAAACAGCAGGCTCCGGTCCCACCCCACTAGACCGACTCTGACTGTGGGGCCCAGGAATGTGAATGTTCAAACCAGATTGCCCTTCCCTCCACGTAACTAGTGTGCTTTTAAAAAGTTGCACACTGACCTAAAGGTTTACAAAACCCAGACCAGCACTGGGCTGACTCCGACACAAGCACCCATTCTAGGTTTCCACTTGGGGATACGGCCGGGGAAAATGGATTTTTCACAAGCCCCAACCCCCTTCCGCAGTTGATATTGATGATTAGTTGGTTTAGAAAAGCATTATTTCAGATGATAACTAGTTCATTGATAACTAAATCAGAATTCATTGCTGGTTAGGCTTCATTTCAAACAGCAGGTGCACCAGGAAAACATAGGAAATGACATGGAAAAGTAATGGATGAAAGAGCACCACAGACACAGAAGAGAAGGCCAAAGCCATTCTGATGTTGGAAGATTGGGTAGGAAAAAAAAAACTGAATGGGTCCATAGCTTCACAGATAGTGCCAGGCCTGGGAAAAACTGAGAAGAGAATAAAATCTGTCCTTGCGTCCCTCCCAATCTCCCTTCCCTATGACTCTTACAAGACCCCCAACTGGCCAAGCAGAACTCTATTAGGTTAGACTATCTGATAACATAATTTATATTAAAGTAATAGTGACAACTTGAATCCACCTCCCAGGGGCACAGACTTTTTAATTTTCATTATAATAAGTGTCATCACCAAGACCTTAATCCAAAAGAAATCATCTTCATCCAAAAGAAATCATCACCAGAGACCTCAATCCAAAAGAAATCATTTCAGGCACTAAAGAAAACAAATGAGTGTGGGTAGGAAGAAGCAGGAGTGGGGTGTGGACAGAAGGAAGAGGAAATCGTCTTGTACCCAAAACATAAGAAAGGCAAGCACCTCCCCTGTGTATGCCAAGACCACACCCAATATTTACTGAGCACCTGCTATGTCTGTGTGTCAGGTTAGTGCTCCTGGTCCTGCTGGCTTTGGGGTCAGGCCCAAAGAACCAAGGGAAATGGTTTATATTACTGAGGGAAAGAGAAAATCATGTATTAAACAATGACTAGTCCACGTTGTGTTATACCTATGAAGCTTTTGGTATGTTTTAAATATGCTCCTTAGATTTTTAGATTAGTCAGATAGCATTCAAATTGTTACTCTGTGCTTTTTAAAATAAATCACTGTCACTTCTCTGAAAACAACAACAGAATCTTATGCAATCAGAATTCCCTGGGGAGAGGCCAAAGACAAGGTACCAGACTTTCCTCAACATTTAACTATAAAACCTTTACCAAAAAACAAAACAAAACAATATTGTCCATGTGAAACCTGAAACTAAGTGTCTCCATTTTGAAGCTGTTAGGCCTGTGGCTGACTTGGGGATTTGGCCACACAGGGCTCACACGAATCACGCCCAGAAAGCACATGGTGCTTGTAAGCACAACAAAGGGAAGAAAGCAGTACCTGTGCACCTGAACCTGGAAGTCCCACCTCATCCTTGGCCAGCATACTGTGGTAGGCATCTTACCCCACTTTCAGGCTTTTGGAAAAAGCAATGTTGCACACGATTACCAAGCAATCTCATTAACAAGATATAGGTCCCAATGAGTATATTATATGGCATCTTCTAAAGAGTCAACGCTGGTTTGTTTGTTTTAAAGTAATTCCACTAAGTGAGCCCAAACCTTCACCCTGAGAGTAGCAATTCCAGAGAAACAAAAGAATATGGGAAACAAGAGGGACTCAGAAGTCCTATAGAATCTTATCCCCCATCACCAAATTACTGTGACAGTAGTAAGACTTGAAACTCACAAAATATCTATTCCCACATTTACTTGCCTCTTAGGAAACTTTAGCAAACAGCTCCCAAGTTACTGGGTTCTCTCTATTAAACTTGCGGCATTTTCTCACTGTAGTTGAGTATAACACCTTATATACCCCTTTTTCCTAAAAAGCTGTTGACAGTGACTTCTTCTACCAAAAGAGCCCAGAAGTAAACATCATGAGTTAGCCTAGAAAAACAATTGTTAAAGTATAGATAGTCCATACATACATGTATACATATAAATTACATGTAGTATTAGCATAATATACTATCAATTTTTAACACAGACGTATAGTATAGTGTTAGAAAAACACACTAAGGAAAGGATGACAAAAATGTACATCATGAACTATAAATATCTAATAAAAAAATACTGTGCCTGCTGGCCTTGAATAACATATTATACTCCTTTATTTTATGTTTAAATAGTGTTAGTGGCCCCGGTCGACCCTTTAACCATAGGACAAGATGACTCATTCCTCCTATAGCTAGATTTTTGAGGTCAGAAGACAAAAATGACAAAGAGCATGCAAGAAAAGTTTACTGTGTCTTAAGAATCTGTAGACAAGAACGGGTGAGGATAAGTTTAGCCTGTTTATCACATGGAATTCAACTCAAGGCATTTTACATCCGTCTTCTATTTGCTGTAAATGTATACAGCGCACTCCATGAAAATTGACACCAAGGTTGGCAAAATACAACAGAGCTTCCTTTATGACATGTCAAATACATTTTTTTTTAACTTGAGCTCCAAAGACACATATCTTGGTGCACTGAACTCCAGCAAGCAATCAGCTTGTTTTAATATCACTCCCGCAGCTGCTAAAAGGCTGCTTTCAACCTGTAAAGATTTCTGGGCCCCATCAGTCAGCACGTCTCCCGGTCTTCCCAGCCCCAGTTTACAGGAGACAATGCATCGAATACGAAGATTGGCTGGGGATGGTCGAGAGTGCGTTCATGATCGTTGCTTCCAGAGAAAAGCATGCAAGTCTTGTTTTAATGGTAAGAATCACTTACTCTGTTACAGCGGTGCTGCTGAAGGAATTATCCTGAAGGCTGAAACAGAAACAAGAAAACATCAGCCAAGTCCAGCGGGGGAGCCGCCTCCCTGATCGCTCTCCCGGAGTTAGAGCGCATACACAAACATGGCATTGCAAAGCAAATCTCAGGGCTCTCCCGGCAAGCTAGCTGTACCTTGGGCTGCTGTCTGCACATGCTCGTAAGGACACCCCCAGCAGGGGCCCAGCCGCACAGCGAACCACAAAGCCCGGCAGCCCCCGAGGCTACAGGGACAGAGCTGGGCGGGGCAGCCAGACGGGGGCACCGGGATCCCCGCAAGGAACACCTGGAGAGCTAGAGCACGACCCCGACCTTGCCAGCCCTGGGAAGCGTTTAATCCAATCCAACCGGTGCCAGCCACCCCGGGGCTGCAATAGGAAAGCCCAACTGTTCCTGCCTAGGTGCCGAAACCCCAGGGGGGCGGGGGGGGGGGGGGACTTGATTTCTAGCGGACGTCTCCTACCAGTTCTACAGAGCTACCTACCCCCTCTAGAGATGGAAGCTCGCAGAGATTCATCCACCGTTCAGAAAAAGCCGGGAGGGAACGAGAAGGGGGAGGGGACATGCTGCTGTTTATGCTTTATTTATTTTTTATTTGTGTTGTTTTATACAGCCCGAGAAAAAGAAGAGCTTCTGAAGGAGGGCTTGCAGCATCACAACCGATCTGCCTGCCCTCTGTCATTTGGAAGCGCCCAGCCCTGGAGGGCAGAGCTGTGAATGAGCCCACGCAGGGCGAGTGGAGAATTTATTTCATGCATTAGCTGGTGACTGAGGGGGATCGTGCAAGAAGTGGGGCTTCCCACGCCCAGAGCAGCCGGCCTGAGCTCTGCTCCCAAGCACCTTTACAAAGGATGAAAAATAGCATCGACAAATGCTATCCTCTTTAAATAAAAGCAGCCCTGTTGGGTGAAGGGAAGGCTGTCAGCCCTCACTTGCTTCACCCTGGGAATATTTGTCCTGCCCTCCTTCCTTTGTTCATTTCTCCTGCCAGCTTGACCTTGATATGGAATGAACAGTCATCTGTGAAAGATGCTTATTTTGAATTTTGAATTAGGAAGGCCCCTCCCCCCCACTTTTTAATCTCTCCACTCTCAGAAGCAGCTGAGATAGTGGTTTTTAGTCCAAACTATATAAGCAGATGAGTTTTAATTTATAACAACAATAAAAAGCTCAAATTTTTATTTTCAGTTAATTAGAAAAATTACCTGAAACTTGGTAATAAGGGGAAAAGCATAATTTTTCAGTGTCACACTGAGACATTTTTTCAGAGGGCTACCCCAAGAACCCCTTAATTCTTTCAGAAAATGTACTTGTGTTTGACTTTGCTATTCACTGTTAGTTAGATTGCAGACACTGTGGAGTTACATGTTCACTTGCACTTTTTGTCCAATCTACAGGGAAGACAACATAACCTTGATGGTATGGTTTTATTGACTTGTACAACTTTAACCAAATTTGCATCTAACCTAACAATCTGATACTAACAGTCTTTCCAAACGCTTATAAATATTCATATTCTCAAAATGCTCCTGGAACCAAGAAAATCACCATCTTATATGTGCTCTCATTACATGAATAGATCTCTGATGTGTGCCTACATTTGTATGAGTTATGTTTTTAACTTTTTAAAATTACACTTTGAAAAATCACAATTGAGTTTAAAAAACAAAACAAAACAGGTTTCATTAAGGTCCTTTGCACTTTTACTTTCCTCTCTTGGAATCTTTTTCAAAGTAGCTGACTAAACACCTAAATGGTCTTAGACCTAAACGCTAGTGACTAAATAAGTTTAGAAATATTCATCCCTTGAATCTTTAAAAATGCTATATACAGCCTGCAGCGTCCTATGGTCTAGGTTCAGGAGTAGCAGGCATGACCTCTTCTTTATATATGTGTATTCATTATTTAACTATCACAAACTGAGGTCTATTCTCTCTTTTATTGAAGCTGATAAAAGGTAAATCTATATTCAAAGGTAGCCAGTTTTCAGAAACTCCTTTTACTCATTGTCTATGGTACTGATTCCAAATGTCCTAATGCAGAGAAAGATCATACTTTTCTCTTTTAAACGTTTCCAGTGACCCATCTGGAATGGAAAAATGCTTTCAACTCTGAAACAGGATTTAGACAAGCATATGAAACAATGTGGGTCCTTTGAAAATAGCATGAAATAACAACTATATAAAATAAATGCAGCCTTGGCCAGTTCTGCTCAGCAGTTAGAGCGTGGGGCCTTGGACCAAAGAGTCGCAGGTTTGATTCCGGTCAAGGGCACATACCTCAGTTTTGGTTCAGTCCCCAGCCCTGGTCAGGATTGTGCGGGAGGCAACCAATCAAGGTGTCGCTCTCATATTAATGTTTCTGTCTCTCTCTCCCTCCCACACTATCTAAAGATAAATGGAAAAAAATATCCTCCGGTGAGGGTTTTAAAAAATAAAAAATAATAAATAAATAATAATAATGCAGCCCTGGCCACATTCAATGCAAGTATTCAATAATATCTACCATAAAGAAATAAGAATTCTCAGCAATTCATAATTGGTATAAACCAAAATTAGAATTTAGGTAGTATTCATATGCAATGAAAATAATGTGTTAATATAGCTAATTACCATTTTTTAAAAACATGCCAGAAAAAAATAAGTTATTTGGCAGTATGCAAGAAAAACAATTATTTAAATTTTTACTTCTCCATCAATTCTGACATTATTTATTTTAATATTAAAGTAGGTTTAGACATTATCTTTATAGTGTCTGGGGCTTTGTTTTGTTTTGTTTTTATAATCTGAAGTATTCAACTTGAAACAGGACAATACTGATGAATAATCATACAACATCTGGTTATTGTAAAGACCCTGTATCACTAAACAGCAGTTCAAGGTGAGTTCAAAATGAGAAGCAGAGAAATGAATATTGGAGTTCTGGAAGAAGTTAAGTTCTAGACCAGTGTTTCCCAAAGTGTCTTCAGTAAAATTCTAGTCTCCCAGATGGTCCAAGAAAAGAAAACAAGGAAAAAAAAAAAAAAAAAAAGTTACATGGTCAAAAATAAATATTCAAAAGAATGTAGAATGTAGCCCTGGCCAGTTTGGCTCATCAGTTAGAGCATTGGCCTGTGGTCCAGAGAGACCCACGTTCAGTTCTCGGTTGCAGTTTGTCCCCAGCCATGGTTGGGTCGTGTGGGAGGCGGCCATTTGATGTGTCCCTTTCATGTCAATATTTCTCTCTCTCTCTCTTCCTCTCTCTCCCCCCAACTCTGTCTGAATGAAAAAATGTCCTCAGGTGAGGCTAAAAAAAAAAAAAAGAATGTATAATGTATATTATAAATTCACATTGCACATTAGGCAACAAAGAAAATTATTTCATTGTTTTTAACCAATGTTCTCAAACTCACTGAAGACCAAAACATTTTGTTAACTAAATTAACATCATGTTGAACTAGGAATTTTGAGAAAGAGTTCCTAAGTACATCAGAGGAAAAATGTAAAACAAATTAACTGGTATAATTATTCATTGAACAAATGAATGAATGAAAAAATGATACTACATGCTTGTCACTAGTTCATAGCTATGAATAAGACAGACACAGTCTAGTCATCATAATGTTTTTAGAGTAATTGTGCATGTATGCATGTATGTGTGTATATATATAATATATAATATATTATATCTAACCCTACTTATACATTTTAAGTAGAATAAGGGGAAAATGAAGATGCTAGATTTAAATATGGTTAATTCACTTACATGTTAAAAGTTATAATGTTTTACTTTATTAGTGCTCCTAAAATCTAAATTTCAGATTTAATAACAATAGTCTATTATAATCTAAAATCTTTTTATTCTAATATATTGACTTGGCTATAAATAACATATAAACCAATAATGTAATGACCAAGAAGGAAATCTGTAGAGTTGCCAGGGTTTAAGACCTACCACTTACCAGTAGTCTGAACTCAGACAATCATTCTATGTCTGTTTTCTCATCTGTTAAGTGGAAATAATAATAACCTATGCCATGGATTCTAATGAAGATTAAATGACATGACTGAAAACAATAACCAAAAAAAATGGTCAATAGATGCCATTATCATGCCATTATCATCATTTTAATTATTATTATAATATTATAATAAATGAGAAAATGCAGGGTCTGGCAAAAGTAGGTTTACAGTTATGAGTATGAGAAACACAGAGTTTATTCTTATTAATTATTGCATTATTTTCCATAAGAACAACTATAAACCTACTGTTGCCCCACCATGTATAAACATAAAGTTGGAAACAAGATGAGCAATGAACAAACTGCTGTGCTAGGATAATAAGCTCACAGATGATATTTTTTGTCCATTTCTCATAATAGTTGAGTGTTTATAGTTTTAAAAAAACAATAAAAATAAAAACTATACTTAATGTAGATGGGCTGCTCTTAAAATGAAATGAGCTCTATCCAGAATGACTTTGTGCTCACTTTACAACTCTTTGATTTAAAATACTCACATGTCCCTGGAGGAACATTCAATTCTAAGAAATCACTTTCTACAAGATGCTGTGGCAAGGAGCCAGAATCTTTACAATTCCAGGAAGTCAACAGAGGCCTGCTCTACTGGTCTGGACACAGTGACTTGTACCTTCCTGCAAGGACCCTTGGGAATGAGCAGGCTTCCCTGTGAAAAGAGAGGATTTAGCCTAAAAAAGATAAACTATCCCTTACTCTGCCCTCTAATTTTTTCCCTCACTAGCCCCAATACTTGACTCCATAACTAGAGAGGCCTCCTTATTGGAGTGGTCAATATCTGAGCTCCCAGAAATATAGAGATGCCCACGAAAGCAAAACTGTGATGCCAAAAATATAAACTGATGGAGTCCAGCCAGTGTGGCTCAGTGGTTGAGCATTAACCCATGCACCAAGAGGTCGCCGGTTTGATTCCCAGTCAGGACACATGCCCAGATTGTGGGCCTGATCCCCAGTGGGGGGCATGCAGGAGGCAGCCAATCTATATTCTCTCTCATCAATGTTTCTATCTCTCCCTCTCCCTTCTTCTCTCTCTAAAGTCAATAAAGGAAAAAAAAATTTAAATATATAAACTAATGGAGGACTGGTT